GAATAACTTAATGGTTTAGGGAAAAAAAAAAAAAAGCCTGGGCACAGGACTGTAAACCCGGCACTTTGGGAGGCTGAGGTGGGCAGATTGCTTGAGCACAGCAATTCAAGACCAGCCTGGGAAACATGCCCAAACCCTATCTCAAAAACAACAAAAAAATACAAAAATTAGCCTGGCATGATCATGTGTGCCTGTAGATACAGGGTTTTGCCATGTTGACCAGGCTGGTCTTGAACTCTTGGGCTTAGGCAGTCCTCCCTCCTTAGCCTGCAAAAGTGCTGGGATTATAGGCATGAGCCAACTGTAACTGGCTTTTGGTTCTTTCTAATAAGACATCTTCTTATAATTAATTTCTCTTGTCAGATTTGGACTTCATGATTAGAAATGGGTTGCTTTCTTTTCTTTCTTTTTTTTTTTTTGTTTTTGCGATGGAGTTTTGCTCCTGTTGCCCAGGCTAGAGCATAATGACACAATCTCGGCTCACTACAAACTTCCGCCTTCCAGTTTCAAGCAATTCTCCTGCCTCATCCTCCCAAGTAGCTGGGATTACAGGCGTGTGCCACCATACTCGGCTAATTTTTGTATTTTTAGTAGAGATGGTGTTTCACCATGTTGGCCAGGCTAGTCTCAAACTCGTGACCTAGTGATTCACCCACCTTGGCATCCCAAAGTGTTGGGATTACAGGCAATGGCCATTATGCCAGGCCCTGGGTTGCTTTTTTTGGTAAAGTCTCATATGTTTTATCCAGTATTCTCAAGAGTGGGAAATAGTTATCCTTTGAAAGTAAGTTATTTTTCTTCTTTCTTAATTCTTTGTTTTTCTGGCTTTGCCACCCAGATTGGAGTGCAGTGGCACCATCTTAGCTCACTGCAACCTCCACTACCCGGGCTCAAGTCATCCTCCCAAATTGGCCTCAGAAGCACTGTATAGTACTTCCTAGCAGTTGCCTCAATGACACACAGAGTTCCTGCAAGCAGCTATAAGAGCTTGCTCTAAAGAGAAAGCTCCAAATGGGAGGAGATTTACTTTAATGGACATTTTTACTGGTAGGCATTACATTTTTCAGATCATCCATTGTCTATCAGCTTATTCTGAGCGTATGAAAAAATTAGGTTTCCCACCGGGCACAGTGGCTCACGCCTGTAATCCCAGCACTTTGGGAGGCTGAGGTGGGTGGATCACCTGAGGTCAGGAGTTCAAGACCAGCCTGACCAATATGGTGAAAACCTGTCTCTACTAAAAATACAAAAAAGTTAGCTGGGTATGGTGGTGTGCGCCTGTGGTCCCAGCTACTAGGGAGGCTGGGACAGGAGAGGTGCTTGAACCTGGGAGGCGGAGGTTGCAGTCAGCCGAGATTGTGCCACTGCACTCTAGTCTAGGTGACAAAGTGAGATTTTTTCTTAAAGAATAAATTAAGCGCCCAATCAGAAAAGAGAAGAAAATGAAGTACTATGAAATGGATGCCTTTACCAACACTGAATGTCACATTCCTTCTGCCAGCCAGCTCAACTTGGTAGAAGCAGCTTTCTAGATAGCTCATTAAGGGTTTTTGTGAGTCATTATCACTACATTCTTGAGGTCATTCTCTCAGACAAAGCAGAGCTATGACAAGGTGGTATCCTAGAAATAGAAGCTATAATGACCTGAGGATTATGTCACAGAAGCTCTGTTCTCCTAGGGCTAGGATCCACACCCAAAAAATTTTGACATTTCAGGCCTTATAGTTTTCTTAAAGTTAATCTGACACAAGAAGACTTGGATCTCTCAACAATGTATGTTCTCAAAACCCTTCTCTCTAACGGCCTCAGTATTAGGATATAACCTGGAGTTTCTTTCTACTCTTTTTTCGAGAAAAGGACTTGTTCTCTCACTGTGGCCTGGGCCTCCTGGGATCAAATGAAGCTCCTACTTTAACCCCTCATGTAACTGCTACCACAGGTGCACATCACCACACCCAGCTAATTAAAAACATTTTTTTTTTAGAGACAGGGTCTTCCTACATTGCCCAGGCTGGTCTCAAACTCTTGGGCTCAAGTGATCCTCCCAACTCAGACTCCCAAAACCTGTCTTGGCCTCCCAAAGTGTTGGGACTACAGGTGTGAGCCACTGTGCCTGGCCTAACCTTGGGTTTCTAACTAATCATATCCCTGCTACTAGAGTTCACTGGATATCTTAGGGAAGAAATTTACTAAGAAACAGAGAAATGACTTGAAATCTGAGTGGCCCTGCATGTTAACACAAAGCACAGTAAAAGAAAATAGAAAAGAAATAATTTACCAGAGTGCCACAGAATAAGCAAGGGCCAGAGCCCTCTTGTTCACAGACAATGCGCCCACAGATGAGACAGTTATTGATGAGCTTGTGCTTCTGGCCCAGGCAATCACAAGGGTGGCGACCAGGGAGCAGGACTGCAAGTCTGTCCTGTCCCTCTCTTGTGTATAAATTGACAAACTTTGTCTTCTTCTTTACAGAGTTGCTGTTGTCTTGTGCCTAATTGTACAAAGACATCAGAATAACATCAAATAATTAATGACAATGTAAAGAATCAAGGGAGAAAATGCTCAGTTCTGTTCAACAACAACTTATATACTATCCAAGGACCAAGAAAGAAGGCAGGGAAAGGAAGAAACACAAATCAGTTATAATCAAGGGTCTGAGAAAAGGTTATACTCTAGAAAAACTAGCTAATATTACCTTGCCTTTTCTGCTAGTAGCTTTCAGCCCATTACTATGGCTAGTGGAAGTAAATGTAGATCTTAATTGGTGATCTTACAATTTCCAATAAGCCACCATGCCCAGCTAATAATTTCCTAAAACACTTTTCTCTATTTTCCTTTGCACCTATTATTCCCTCTATCAGGAGTGTTCCTAGCTCATCTCTTTACATACTGGCTCCTTTTCAATGTTCAGATCTCAGTTACAATTTCTCCCCCTTGGAGATGGTTTCCCCAAACATTCTACCTAAACTCTGTCCACCAATTACTGTCTATGAAACTGTCCTTTTTATTTCTTTCATGGCAATTTTCACATTCTATAACTGTTTAAACAATTTTTTTCTTTGCTTTTTTCTGAGCCACAAAAATGTAATCTCTAAGAAAGCAAGAAAATCTAGTATGTCTTATTTACTGATATATCTCTAATGTCTATATCAGCACTTCACATACAGTAGAAACCCAACAAGTTTCTGAATAACTACATAAACTGCCTATGGAAATTTAAACCCTAGGCAACATGGCAATACCCTGACTCTACAAAAAACACAAAAATTGGCCAGGCATGGTGGCGCATGCTGGTAGCCTAGGTACTCAGAAGGCTGAGGTGGAGGGATCTCTTGAACCCAGGAGGCAGAGACTGGAGTGAGCTGAGAATGAGCCACTGCATTCCAGCCTCGGCAATAGAGCGAGACCCTGTCTCAAAAACAAAAACAAAAAATTCAAGACAGATTTTTCTTACAGGTCCAAAAATAAAACTCTAAGTATAGTTGATTCTCATTACTTGTAGATCCAGATCAGGGATTCAGCCTACTTACCAAAATTTATCCGTAACTTAAAAATCAGTATTCCGGCCAGGCGCGGTGGCTTGCGCCTGTAATCCCAGCACTTTGGGAGGCCGAGGCGAGTGGATCACAAGGTCAAGAGATTGAGATCATCCTGGTCAACATGGTGAAACCCTGTCTCTACTTAAAAAATACAAAAATTAGCTGGGCTTGGTGGCACGTGCCTGTAGTCCCAGCTACTCGGGAGGCTGAGGCAAGAGAACTGCTTGAACCTGGGAGGCCGAGGTTGCAGTGAGCCAAGATGGCGCCACTGCACTCCAACCTGGTGCCTGGCAACAGAGCAAGACTCTGTCTCAAA